TATTGCTACAAATATACCCCAGTGACTTAAGACTGCTTTTGTGCTCCAGGCTCACATATTTCAATCATTTAAAAATACACTTGCATGTTCATGGTTCTCTGATGTCGGCTAATGCCCACATAAGGCAGTTAAACGAATATAATTTTTAATATAGTTTTTGTGTTTTATTTTATTTAGTGTTTTTATTTTAGAATTATTATTATTATTATTACAAATATTTGTAATTACTTTATTACTTAATTTATTTAATTAATTAATTTGCTTCTTTTGCAAAGCATGAAGGACTTACTTGAGCAGCTCTTTCTCTCGCACCTCCAGCTGCAGCATGATAGCGCTGAGCTCCATGTACAGGTTGTTAGCTCGCTCCAGTTTCCTCTCGTAATGCTCTCGGATATCCAGAGCGTGTCTGAAACGCACGAGACCGTGAGACAGCACATAACAGACAGTCCCGCTCTGTGTTCTGCTGCTCTCACCTGAGTTCGTCTCTTCTGCGGCGAATCAGCTCCTCGTCCAGTCGGTGGATGCAGGTGCCTTCGCTTTTGATCTTCTCGAAATGCTTCTTCACTTCCTCTCTCCACTCCGCCTGCCACAGACAAGATTGTTAGGGTGAATTAAAATGGTAACACTTTAGTTTGGGGACAAATAAGCATGAATAGTAGCATATTGGCAGTTTATTAGTACTTATAAAGCACATATTAATGCCTTATTCTGCATGACCATATTTTCCTAAACTTAATAACTACCTTACTAACTATTAATAAGCAGCAAATTAGGAGTTTGAGGCAAAAGTTGTAGTTAATAGTGAGAATTGGTCCCCGAACTAAAGTGTGACCATTAAAAGAATTAAATGTTTTTGGTAATTGAAAAAAGCTGAAATAAATTAAAATATAAATATTAAATAAAAAAAACTTAAAATTAGAAATGCTGACTAGCTGATATAAAATTCTAACTAAAACTGAAATAAAAATAAATTCAAGCTAAATAGAAATATTAAAAAGCAAAAAATTATAACATTACAAAAAAAATTTTTTAAATAAAAAGTTACAACATTAAGATAAAAGCTAATTTCCACAGACAATACTGTTATTGAAAAATTCTCTTAAAAATTGTTTTCGGTAACTGCAATAAAGCTGAAATAAAATAAAATATAAACATTAGATGAAAAACTTAAGAAAACTTAAAAAAAAAATCGAAATGTTGACTTAAAAATGAACAAATGAAATTCTAACTAAAAAATGACTACAGCTAAAACGGAAATATAAATTCAAGTTAAATAGAAATATTAAAAAGGCAAAAACTATTTAAAATGACAAATACGACAAAAAAAGATAAAAAAGCATTCAAATTAATTACTAAAATAATTATAAATATTTATAAATAGTAATTAAATAATCCTAAAATAACACTAGTCGCACACAAACATACACATGAAATCAATGGATGGAAATCATTAATCAAACAATTCTGGTTATACTGTCAATAATTAACATCCCATAATGGTTTAATTAACTCTTTTAGATGAATCAAACAAGCAACTCATAAAATTTGAGGCTGATTTGTGATTCTTTTTGACAGATACATTACAGAACTGAGTCAAAAGAGTCGTTTGTTCATGAATCACACTACAGTTTTCATGCTGCATGTTCGTTGAATGCAATTTGCAATTTTATTTTAGCGATGTAGTTCTTATTTATAGAACTATTAGAGAACCGAGAAACAATTGGATAAGTGGTTCATGTTGCTTTTGCATTTCTTTCGTTCTGTAGTGATGCCGCTGGACGACACAGTGACTCTTTCTGGATGAGACTCAGCAGAAGTCAGTGTAGAAATCAACATTTGCTCACCTGAGATTTGAAGTAGGTCTCCTGTGGCGTCCCGAGCATATCAGCCGAGGCGATATCCAGATGGAGAAGGATCTGCCTGAAGGACGGCCGGTTTCTGGGTTTACCTTGCCTGCAGGTACAAGAAGAACACCATCTCAATCTACTAGTAAAACCCTGTTTTAGAGAACTCTTGGAAATCCTGGATTCTGATTGGCCAATCACAGCATTCTGCAGTCAAAAATCTACCTGGCAACTACCAAAAACATCCTAGCAAAGACACCGAATGGCCTTAAAACCTTCGAGCTTTTAGAACTATTTTCAATTTTACATTTCAAGTGTTTTCAACAATTTGAAACTTTTGGCCATAAAGTACTTTCTCAAGCCAAACATTTTTAATCTAGTTTTAAAATTGACTTGTACACGGTTTCATTTGTATCACTTCATGCTCTTTTTGTGTTTTCCCTCACATAAAAATAAATTCAAATCAATATTTCTTGTACATTATTCCTTTCATATGTGTAGCTTTATTCCACAAACAATAACAATGTTCTTCCATTATAAATACAGCACAAAAGCATGTAATTGTTGTAGACAGCGCTGGGTAGATTACTAATAAATTGTAGTCCACTACTGATTACAGATTACATGGTGAAAACTGTAGTTCGTAACATAATCTAGGTAATGTTTTCTGACTACTTCAGATTACTTGTGTGAATACTATGTAATTAAAAAAAAGTAACTGTAATCTGATTAGGAGCATTTTAAAATGTAATATACTCTAATTACAAGTACATAATTTTTGGAATCTGATTATGTCCAGATTGCATGTAATCAGCAGTAACTAGCTAGCATTGGATGTAGATGGCGTTGAGTCTCACCAGGTTTGTTTCATGAGGATCTTGAAGCCGTCGGGACAGGTGGACGGCACAGGCAGATGGAGGCTGTTACTGCCCACACCCCAAATAATAGCAGACGAGTCCACGTCCTTATAGGGGATCTCACCGGTCAGCAGCTCCCACATCACCACCCCGAACGACCTCCAAACACACAACAATTAGCACTCACTGCTTACACTACTGCTCAAACGCTTGAGGTCGGTGAGAGTTTTTAATGCTTTTGAAAGTAGTCTCTTCTGCTCACCAAGGCTGCATTTATTTGTGACCATGGACCACAAAACCAGTCATAAGGGTCAATTTCTGGAATCTGAGGGTGCAAAAAAATCTAAATATTGAGAAAATCATCTTTAAAGTTGTCCAAATGAAGTTCTTAGCAATGCATATTACTAATCAAAAATTAAGTGTTGATATATTTACGGTAGGACATTTACAAAATATCTTCATGGAACATGATCTTTACTTTATATCCTAATGATTTTTGGCATAAAAGAAAAATCTATTATTTTGACCCATACAATGTATTTTTGGCTATTGCTACAAATATACCCCAGTGACTTAAGACTGCTTTTGTGCTCCAGGGTCACATTTGATAAAAAATATTGTAACAGTGAAATATTATTACAATTTAAAATAACTTTTCTATGTGAAAACATTTTAAAATGTAATTTATTTCTGTGATCAAAGCTGTAATCAAAACTTTCAGCATCATTCCTCCAGTCTTCAGTGTCACATGATCCTTCAGAAATCCTTCTAATATGCTGATTTGCTGCTCAAGAAACATTTGTGATTTTTATCAATGTCACTGTATTAATTCACACTCACCAGATGTCTACTTTCTCTGACACCGGCTCATTCCGGATCACTTCCGGAGCCATCCAGGCCACCGTACCCGCAAATGACATCTTCGTACTCTTGTCACTGAGCTCTTTAGATGTTCCAAAGTCTGAGATCTTCACGTTGTCATTTTGAGTGACTAGCACACTGCAAAAGAAAGCACACACATTCAGAGAAGCAGAACGCATTGGTATTGCCCATTTACAGTATTTCCATATATACTATATATGTGATCCTGGACCACAAAACAAGGGTCAATTTTTTGAAATTGAGATTTATACACCATTTCGAAGCTGAATATATAAGCTTTCCATTGATGTATGGTTTGTTAGGATAGGACAATATTTGGTCGAGATACAACAATTTGAATATCTGGAATCTGAGGGTGCAAAAAAATCAAAATATTGAGAAAATCGCCTTTAAAGTTGTCCAAATTAAGCTCTTAGCAATGCATATTACTAATCAAAAATTAAGTTTTGATATTTGAAATTTACAAAATATCTTTATGGAACATCTTAATATCCTAATGATTTTTGGCATAAAAGAAAAATCAATAATTTTGACCCATACAATGTATTTTTGGCTATTGCTACAAATATTCCCCAGTGACTTAAGACTGGTTTTGTGCTCCAGGGTCACATTTGTGATTTGAGTGCTTTTAAGTGAAATTGAGCATTTTATGCATCTGATAAAGTATGCATTTTTGTTCATTGAAATGAAGTTCAAATAAAATAAAATATAAATATTAGGTGAAAAACCTAACTCTCGTATGGTATTAAAAATCTGGGTACAATTGTTATGTTGTGAGACAAATTGACCCCATTATTTTTTTTGTATATTAAATATTAGTAATGTAAGAAAATTACTACAACTAATACTGAAAAAAAATGAATTAAAGGTAAATATTAAATAATAAAATGAATATTACAATTTAAATATTACAAATATTAATATTAAAATATATTAAAACGATTAAAATTTAAATAATATTAAATATTAAAAATGACAAAGGCACATAACTAAATTACTAATAATATAAAGATAAAAGCTAATTCAAAATATTATATATAAATACTATAATAGTAAATAAATAATCCTAAAATCCCACAGGTCTTACTTTGGTGATTTGAGGTCTCTGTGGATGATCTTGTGGAGGTGCAGGTAGTTCATGCCGCTGGCGATCCCTGAGGCCCAGTCCACCAGCAGCCGCGGCGTGATCTTACGACCGGCCCTGAGAACCTCGTACAGCTGCCCTTGAGCACAGTACTCCATGATGATGCAGTAACACGGGGCCTGCGTGCAAACACCCCTGAAACACAAACAGCACGCTTTAGTGTCAAACTCAAAGCTGCATATTGACTGCCACTAGCTGGTTTTTCATTGCGACCTACTTGAAGCTGATGATGTTGGGGTGCTTCAGCTTGCGCAGGTGTTTGATATCCGTCTCCTTCTGCTCTCGGACTTTCTTGATGGCGACCTCTTCGGAGCGGAACTTCCCGAGGAACACGGCGCCCTGAGCTCCGCTTCCCAGCCACTGCAGCTCAGATATCTCCTCAAACGGCACCTCCCACATGTCTACTGACCAATCAGAACACACCCTCAACATACTGTTCAATCAAAACCACAGCAAAGATCAACTTAAAGGGAGAGTTCACCCAAAGGGTTTTATTTTGATTGTCTTAATTTTAAAAGCAGTTTGTTTCTTTAATTTGACATTTTTATGATTTAAATTATTAGCTTTTCATAAACTCACAAACTCCAGTTTGGGAAACCCTGACTTAAAGTAATGTTTAATACACTTCATGTTGTATATAACAAACAATAAAATGTGTTTTCTTTCTCTTCCTATTTTTATCAATATGGTACAAAATAATCCTATTCAAATCCATGTGATAAAGTTAGGTCAAATGTAATCGAAAAGTAAATTATGCATAATTAATATTACTTATATTATTTAATTGCTACAGATCAATTATTTTATAACCGATACGATACAGATTATTTGCATGTTTATGTGCACGATAACCGATATGCACTGACTAAATTATAACAACATATCGGTAGATTTGATTTTACAAAATCAATATCCGAATATGGTCAAATGCTTAAATAACGGACATTTTTTTTTCTTCGGTAACACTTTATTTTTACAGTGACCTTGTTACACATTTTTTTTTACTAAAGTAAAAACAGTAAATTATGAATAATTACTATTAAATGTTACTATTACTTAAATGTATAATTACTAGAGATCAATTTTTTTTTTATAACACGATACCAATATAGACTATTTGCATGTTTTTGTGCCCGAAAACACGATATGCAGAACTGATATTCATTTATTGTTTGTGTTATATATTATGTTTTTGAGACAACGATAACAACTTATTGGTAGATTTGATATTCCAAAACCGATATCCGATTACGGAAAATGCTTAAATATTGAGGAAAAACTAAAATTTTCGGTAACATTTACTAAAGTAAAAACCGTAAATTATGCGTAATTACATGCATAATTACAATTAATTAAATGTTACTATTACCTAAAAGTATAATTACTAGAGATCATGTTTTTATAACTAGATTATAGTACTAACCACAATTTTTGGTAACACTATTTTAGAGTGCCCTTAAGTAAAAACAGTAAATTATACACAATTACATGCATAATTACTATTATTATACTCGCGGCAGCAAGATTAATTTTTAATGAGCCGAAAAGGATGCACGTCACACCTCTGTTTATCAATTTGCACTGGCTACCAATAGCTGCTTGCATAAAATTCAAGGCATTAATTAGGGATGTAACGATTCACTCAACTCACGATTCGATTCACGATTTTTTTTTTACAAAATGAGATTTAAGACAAATTATAAATTAAATGTGTCCTTTTATTATTGCTTGGACAAAATACTGCACATTTCTTTGTGAAATTGAAATATAACACTATAATAATATAGCACTTGTAAATTATTGCTCTTTTGTTGGTTTTGATTGCTTCTATTGTCCTCATTTGTAAGTCGCTTTGGACAAAAGCGTCTGCTAAATGACAAAAATGAAATATAATGCAAATGTAAATAACAAAACTACATTGAAATTTTAAAACAAGCACAGACTTTTACATTAACTGTTCCCTCCTGGTGGAATGACCTGCCCAACTCAATCCGAGCAGCTGAGTGCTTAGCCATCTTCAAGAATTGGCTAAAACCACATCTCTTCCATCTTTATTTGACCCTCTAACTCTAGCACTCTCTCGTCTAATTCTACTCTTTAAAAAAAAAAACTTGCCCCTTTTAGACTTGCATTGTTCATTTACTAACTGCTTGTTTTCTTTAAAAAAAACAAAAAAAAACTAACACTAGCTTCTCTATTCTTTTTGTATTGTATTTGTTTTCTTTTATTTATTATACAATTAACAAAAAACCTTGCTACGTGTACTACGTTAAGCTAACTGAGACTTGTTATAGCACTTGCATATCATTGCTCATTCGTTGATTTTGATTGCTTCAATTGTCTTCATTTGTAAGTCGCTTTGGATAAAAGCGTCTGCTCAATGACTAAATGTAAAATTATTTAAATGTTACTATTACTTAAATTATTTAAATGTATAATTACTACAGATCAATTTTTTTTTATAACCGATACAGATTATTTGCATGTTTATGTGCCCAACAACCGATATGCAGAACCGATATTTATTTATCTATTTACTTCTGTTTATAACACAATGATAACAACATATCGGTAGATTAAAAAAATTACAAAACTCATATCCGATTAGGGAAAAATGCTTAAATATTGGGGAAAAACTACAATTTTCGGTAACACTTTCTTTTACAGTCCCTTTGTTACACGTTTTTACTAAAGTAAAAAGTGTAAATTATGCATAATTACTATTATTTAAATGCTATTATTACTTAAACTACTTAAATGTATAATTACTAGAGATCAATTTCTTTATAACCGATATTGATTATTTGCATGTTTATGTGCCCGATAACCGACATGCCGAACCAATATTTTTTTTTAGTTCTGTTTTTAACACAATGATAACAACATATCGGTGGATTCAATATTACAAAACGAATATCCAATTACGGAAATTTTTTTAAATATCAGGAAAAATATCTAATAATTACACTGTAACAAGGACACCTTAAAATAAAGTAACCCAATTTTGGTTTTGTAATGTGTAATCAGTAATGTACTAAAATGTAATACTCGTCACTAACCTTGCTGCTGAAGTTTGTACTCGGTTGAGTATGTTTTCCCGATAATATTCCACACGGGTCTCAAACATCCGAACAGCCCCTCCAGAAATCCACCGCTGCCCGTCCCAGCTCTATGAAAGTGCAGTTTGATGTCGTCATGCGGATGGGGGTGCGTGTCGTCTCCGCTGTGGTCCATCGGACACCCGCCCTCCTCGTTTTTCTCCTCCCCGCCGCTTCCGCAGCCTCCCTGACTGCAGGATCCCGGCGTCTCGGCCTCCTCATGTTCCTGCAGCTGCAGAACGCTGTTTTCGAAGTGTCCCTGCTCCCGCGTCGAGTCCTCGCTGAGGGCGGTGCACGGTGGGCTGGTGCCGCCTGGCTCGTCGTCCCTGCAGGGAAGCTGAAGCTGCTGCAGCGGCATGGGAAGGGTGGTGGGCGGAGCCAGGTCTGCGATGATCTGCGGCGGAGGCGCCGCCGGAGGAAGCAGCGCTTGAGGAGAAATGTTACTGTTGGTTTTTTTCATGGAGTCGCCGACGACCGTGAGCTTCAGCTCTTCCTTCAGCTTCCCCACCAGCAGGCTGGGACAGGACGTCCAGGACAGCACCTCCGGGGAGCTTCCCATGGTGCCGTGCGTGTGTATGGGCAGACGCCCTCCTCACCCGACGGGAAATGAGCGGCCAGGCTTTACAGATGAATTCTGTCGGGTTTTATGACACACCTGCAGGAGAAAGACAGATATGCATTTAAAAACAGCCTGATGGGTGCAGCTTAGTGGAACGGAAATTTTTTTTCAAATTTTTTTTTTTAGAAACAAAAAGTTTTTAAAACTCAAACATGAAGCAAGATGCTGAAGAAAAAACAAGGCATGACAAAGATTGTTGATTTAAAAAAAATGGTGTTTGCAAAGTTATTTTAATAAATTAAAAAAAATTCTCTAATAAAAATAACATCGGACACAGACACAATTATTAACAATATTCCCAAATTTTGTGTAATGTAAATAGCATTACACAAAATTCACAAATATAGAGTAAAAGAGGCAACTTAATTAGTTTCAACTTTTGAATGTATCCTTTTTAGTAATTACTGTATAATGCAATTTTTTAAATAATAACTAAATGTTTTATACTTAATTTTATGATAAATATACATTCTAAATATATTTACATGAATAAATATAAAAAAGGCACTTTAATTCAATAGAACTTTTTGATGTATACTTTAGCAATTAATTAATGTATATTTATATATTTATAATAATTGAAATTTCTATATTTAATTTATTGTAAAAGTAAATTATAAATACATTTCTATGAATAAATATGAAAGTTGCCATTTAATTTGAACTTTTTGAACTCTGATGTACATTTTTGGTAATTTTTTAGTATTAATGAATAATGCAATTTTTATATTTTAATAATTATATTTATTTTTTATATGTAATTGTATTATAAAAATAAATTATAAATACATTTATATGAATATGAAATATGTATTTAAAATAATATTAAATATTGTAAAACATTACAATTAATTACAATATTATTACAATATTAATTATACATTTAAACAGCATGTATGTGAAAATATACATTTTCTGTAACATTACAAATGTCTTTAATGTGACTTTTGATACATTTATTGCATCCTTGCTAAATAGAAGTACTAATTTCTTAAAAAAAACTTAATTTTTAATAAAAAAAAAAAGTTATACACATTCTGGATTTTTTAAGTTTGTCGCAATGCATTCTGGGATTACCTGCACCTATTAAGCATGCATGTGATGCTGCCTGAGACTTTTGGAACAGGCTTTGCATCGGGAGCTTAACTACTGTATATTGCCTTAAAATGCTGCCTACATAGCAGCTCACTAGATTTCAGAACAGAGTGCGAAAATTATCCCCGTTTAATGAATTTGAGAAATACAAACACTCGTTTTAAACAGCAACTACAGCTCTGACTGCTAAATAAAGACTGAAACGGTTGATCATTTTAATTTCCAATCTCATTCCGCACACAGCAGGAGAGGGATTGGAGGCATTTGCATTAATGATTATCTCTTTAGAGAGAGAGAGTGAGAGGGAGAGAGAGAGAGAGAGAGAGCGAGAGAGAGAGAGAGAGAGAGATTCTGGGAAGCCGTCGTTGTGATCCGGTCTCTGTTGATCGACTGTGTTAGTGCTGCTTTGAGATGAAAGCAGAACGAGTATTAGAAGCTCTGAGAGCCAAACATCTGGCACACATCGCTCACGCTCTCTCTCTCACACACACACACACACACAGTCACTGAGGACGAACATCCCATAATCTGCTGTTGTAGTTACGCAAGACCGACTCTCCCAAAACAGCAATAATTTTGCCTGCATTAGTGTCTGAACCAAAGGTCGGCAACCTTTATGTGAATTAATCAAAAGATAAATACAGACCAGCAGTCTGAAGTTTATATTTTTCTCATGTCAGAATAAAGCCCCATTCACACCAAGGAAGATAACTATAAAGATAATAAAAATAACGATATTAGCGTCCACACCAGCGAACGATATCGTCTGCTGCTTTAAGTTCTCTAGCTTGTGATAGCAGGATGGATTCTGATTGGGTGTCAATGTTTGTATCGTTCATCAGCTGGAAAAATTGTTCTAAAAGTGATTCCAACGATATTGTTTCTCTGTGCCTTTATCGTTATAGCTGTGGCGTGGACTCTGCTATTCTTTAGAACGATTTTTAGAACTATATCTTTATCATTATCTTTATAGTTATCGTTCTTGGTGTGAACGGGGCTTAACAGTGAAGAGATGAAGCCTCTGAAAGAACACAAATAGAAATGATGTAGTGACCAAAACAAATCAAATCTTATATTTGAGCTTCTTCTTTGTCTGGCTCTGTTCACTCTGGACATTCATTAACTTCAAAACACTTTTTAAAAAAGAAAAAGATTTATTCTATTTATTATTAATATATTATCACTTCTATTTATTATATATATATATATATATGTGGCCAGGCTTTACAGATGAATTCTGTCGGGTTTTATGACACACCTGCAGGAGAAAGACAGATATGCATTTAAAAACAGCCTGATGGGTGCAGCTTAGTGGAACGGAAATTTTTTTTCAAATTTTTTTTTTTAGAAACAAAAAGTTTTTAAAACTCAAACATGAAGCAAGATGCTGAAGAAAAAACAAGGCATGACAAAGATTGTTGATTTAAAAAAAATGGTGTTTGCAAAGTTATTTTAATAAATAAAAAAAAATTCTCTAATAAAAATAACATCGGACACAGACACAATTATTAACAATATTCCCAAATTTTGTGTAATGTAAATAGCATTACACAAAATTCACAAATATAGAGTAAAAGAGGCAACTTAATTAGTTTCAACTTTTGAATGTATCCTTTTTAGTAATTACTGTATAATGCAATTTTTTAAATAATAACTAAATGTTTTATACTTAATTTTATGATAAATATACATTCTAAATATATTTACATGAATAAATATAAAAAAGGCACTTTAATTCAATAGAACTTTTTGATGTATACTTTAGCAATTAATTAATGTATATTTATATATTTATAATAATTGAAATTTCTATATTTAATTTATTGTAAAAGTAAATTATAAATACATTTCTATGAATAAATATGAAAGTTGCCATTTAATTTGAACTTTTTGAACTCTGATGTACATTTTTGGTAATTTTTTAGTATTAATGAATAATGCAATTTTTATATTTTAATAATTATATTTATTTTTTATATGTAATTGTATTATAAAAATAAATTATAAATACATTTATATGAATATGAAATATGTATTTAAAATAATATTAAATATTGTAAAACATTACAATTAATTACAATATTATTACAATATTAATTATACATTTAAACAGCATGTATGTGAAAATATACATTTTCTGTAACATTACAAATGTCTTTAATGTGACTTTTGATACATTTATTGCATCCTTGCTAAATAGAAGTACTAATTTCTTAAAAAAAACTTAATTTTTAATAAAAAAAAAAAGTTATACACATTCTGGATTTTTTAAGTTTGTCGCAATGCATTCTGGGATTACCTGCACCTATTAAGCATGCATGTGATGCTGCCTGAGACTTTTGGAACAGGCTTTGCATCGGGAGCTTAACTACTGTATATTGCCTTAAAATGCTGCCTACACAGCAGCTCACTAGATTTCAGAACAGAGTGCGAAAATTATCCCCGTTTAATGAATTTGAGAAATACAAACACTCGTTTTAAACAGCAACTACAGCTCTGACTGCTAAATAAAGACTGAAACGGTTGATCATTTTAATTTCCAATCTCATTCCGCACACAGCAGGAGAGGGATTGGAGGCATTTGCATTAATGATTATCTCTTTAGAGAGAGAGAGTGAGAGGGAGAGAGAGAGAGAGAGAGAGCGAGAGAGAGAGAGAGAGAGAGATTCTGGGAAGCCGTCGTTGTGATCCGGTCTCTGTTGATCGACTGTGTTAGTGCTGCTTTGAGATGAAAGCAGAACGAGTATTAGAAGCTCTGAGAGCCAAACATCTGGCACACATCGCTCACGCTCTCTCTCTCACACACACACACACACACAGTCACTGAGGACGAACATCCCATAATCTGCTGTTGTAGTTACGCAAGACCGACTCTCCCAAAACAGCAATAATTTTGCCTGCATTAGTGTCTGAACCAAAGGTCGGCAACCTTTATGTGAATTAATCAAAAGATAAATACAGACCAGCAGTCTGAAGTTTATATTTTTCTCATGTCAGAATAAAGCCCCATTCACACCAAGGAAGATAACTATAAAGATAATAAAAATAACGATATTAGCGTCCACACCAGCGAACGATATCGTCTGCTGCTTTAAGTTCTCTAGCTTGTGATAGCAGGATGGATTCTGATTGGGTGTCAATGTTTGTATCGTTCATCAGCTGGAAAAATTGTTCTAAAAGTGATTCCAACGATATTGTTTCTCTGTGCCTTTATCGTTATAGCTGTGGCGTGGACTCTGCTATTCTTTAGAACGATTTTTAGAACTATATCTTTATCATTATCTTTATAGTTATCGTTCTTGGTGTGAACGGGGCTTAACAGTGAAGAGATGAAGCCTCTGAAAGAACACAAATAGAAATGATGTAGTGACCAAAACAAATCAAATCTTATATTTGAGCTTCTTCTTTGTCTGGCTCTGTTCACTCTGGACATTCATTAACTTCAAAACACTTTTTAAAAAAGAAAAAGATTTATTCTATTTATTATTAATATATTATCACTTCTATTTATTATATATATATATATATATATATATGTGTATGTGTATATATACACACACACATTATATATAATATTATATATAATATGTGATATTCATTGCGTAATTACTTTATGTATTCATATAATAAATATTTTAGATAGTTTCTATTTATTATCATGATATTATTAATATTAATATTATTGATATATTATTATTTCTATTCTATTTATATTTTATATATAATAATTATTTAAAATTATAATTATTTATTACACAATTTATTGCACACACAATTATATATAAATAAATACAAATATAATGAATAATATATAATAAAATGAAAATAAAAATGATATTAGTCTGCATAAATACTTTCAAGCATTTAAACAGAAGTAAAAAACAAAAACTTTTTTTAAACATAATGAGCAAGATATTCAGTCAAATGTATCCAAACTTTGA